CAAGTGAACTTTAACACACCTTCCAAGCTCATCGATAGGAAGAATCAATATTGTGAAAATGGCCATATTGCGCAAGGTAATTTGTAGATTCAATGCCATCCCCATCAAGCTACCAACGACTTTCTTCACAGAATTGCAAAGTTTATTTTACTGAAGTCCCCTTCAACAGGCCAAGCTGAGGAGAGAAAAAGAAGAAAGCACACATTGCAATACCAGAGGCATTCTGCCCATGGCCCTCATTTTGTAGGCACTACAGAAATCCTCCAAGGTGCCCAGAATGGCATTAGTACCTACCAGACAAGCCTTGGAATGAAAAGTGACTCAGAATTACACAGAATGTTAGGGCTTATTCTTATGTCAGGGTGTAAGAATATTTCCTAAAAGTTTTATTACCTGAAGATAAAGTTGGCCTCTAAAGACGTTTGAGTCCTAACTAACTTAGAAGATTAAGTGCTCTTTCTCTAGAGTGAAATTAACATGTATCTGAAACCTGGTTTGTGACTTACCAGGTATGTAAGCTTGGAAAAAACACCGAATTATCTGAGTCTAAGATAAAGAGAATCACACTTATCTCTAATATGGTGATGATGGATATAAAACATTTAATATGGCTCCAGGCACATTAACTGTAGCTGGTACTATTATTGGTCGTAATATTACATTAGTGTTAGGATTAGCATTAATGTTGGTGTTAATGTTAATCCTAGTATCATAGATCAGTACTTTTGTTCAGCCAAAGGAAATAAAGATTTGAATACAAGCAGAGAAATTCTGCTATATCATATCAGGGTGATTCCTTTGGAAGCTTGAGTTTCAGTTAAAGATGGGCCTTTCTCATCAGTTCTTGTCATTTCTTGCTTAGTCATAGGCTGAAGACTCAAAGAAAAATAAAACGGGGCAATGTCTGGTTGGCACTGGGCAGAGTATTATTTAGGTCTAGGTTCTCTTGGATGACTTCCTGTTGTCTACAGTGGACACCAATCTGCCTTCCAGCTTCCTCCTGCCACACTGTACCTTACATCCCAAGCTTCATCCAAGTCTTATATCAGCTCACTAGAAGCAGATCTAAGATGGGATTTCCTGTGTGCAGGATTTATGGAGGACAGTTCCAAGGAAAAAAATAATAGGGAGTAAAGGAAGCACAAATGAACTCTGCAGAAATGTAAGTCCAGGTGCAGTCTAAATTTAAGCTAATCTCACTGGATAATTTGTAGTGTAATTCACACCACAGGATTTGTCTCACCGTGAGGTATGCGATTTGGGGTTCAAATATGACTGCTGTGGACATCAAAGAGAGGAGGCTTCAATCACCCAAGGGTAATGTTCCTGAGAAGTATGCAGATATGAGCCTTCAACGGGTAAAAAAGATTTCCATGGATTTGGATGGGGACACAATAGCATCTGCTACAATCCACTTTAAGACCTCATTGTTCCCTCAAACATCATCCCCTCTTATCACATGTCTCCTCTACACGTGTTGTGCTTTTGGTTGGAATATCTTTTACCTCTTTATGATATTCCAGATCCGGTTTCAAACTGGGAAGGTGCAGACAGACAGCCACAAATGCTTACCCATTTCTGCTCCCACAGAACTAAGTTCATCACTATGTATGGTAGCATATCTGTGCATAAGTATAACTCAGTAATTTATGGTCTTCTTGAGGTCAAGAGTTGCTCTTTTCAGTTCATCTTCTTAGCATATACTGAAATGAATGATGAGGAGAAAGATATATGGTACTTAATAGTCTGATGTCCTTTTAGATTGTGTCAGGCAAATGATGTGATTGTTCTTTTTACTTGAACCTGAGATCACAGCATTTTATAATGAAAAAGGTTTCATCCAGTAGCCAAAATAGTATTGTGGCTTAAGCAACTGATACCTGTTTCATCCATTTGTGTTACAGTCCCTCATAACTGTGTTCAACAAACACTTATTGAGCATAGGTGTTGTGTATTTGACTAAAGATTGGAGATGTGAGACTAAACAATACCAGTGTGGTCCCAGTGCTTACAGGGTTTCACAGTTCAATGGAAAAACACAGAAAATACGCAACCATATAGCATGATAAGAGTTGTAACTGGAGACTATAGAGAGTTATGGGAACATGCACACAAAGAAGAAGGTCTGGAGATCCGTTGCACAACAAAGTGAATATAAGTAACACTACTGAACCGTACACTTAAAAATGGTTAAAATGGTCAAAATTTTATGTGTATTTTACCACAAATTTTAAAAGAAGCTTAAAAATGAGGAGTAACGGTTTGTTTATATTTATTTTATAACTATTGGAGTGAGAATGTTGAGAAAAAAGATAATTCAGAGCCGGGTGTGGTGGCTTACACCTATAATCCTTGAGCTTTGGGAGGCTGAGGTGGACGGATCACTTGCTGTCAGGAATTCGAGACCAGCCTGGCCAAGATGGTGAAACCCAAGCTCTACTAAAATTTAAAAAAAGTAGCCAGGCATGGTAGTGCCCACCTGTAGTCCCAGCTACTTGGGAGGCTGAGGCAGGAGAATTTCTTGAACCCGGGAGGCAGAGGTTGCAATGAGCTGAGTCACGCCATTGCACTCCAGCCTGGGGTGACAAGAGCTGGAGTCCATCTCACACACACACACAAAAAAGTAATTCAGAAGTGATGGGGGTTCAGCCTATATAGTAGGGTTATGGCAGGGTAAGAAAGCTTGTATTCTGTCCTGTGGGCAGTGTGAGCCATTGGAAGATTTCAAGAAGGACTTTAGCAGCATGTGATTCAGAAAGTCCCCTGGATCAGTGTAGAGAATGCATGGGAAAGGGGCAAACCCACAGAGATGCTAGCCAATTCAGAGGTTGTTTATATAGCCCAGCTGAGAGCTTATTTGATCCTGAACATGGGCAGTGTTGGTGGGGGTGTGGGAAGAATAAGGAGAAAGTAGACTCAAATGTTATTTAGGATATAAATCAGGCAGACTCAGTAACTTATTAAACTGGCAGATAGCAGCAGGCAAAAGACAGGATGGAGTCTGATTGACTCCTACTTTCCTACTTTTCTGGCTCAGATGACAACATAGATGGTAGTGCCTTTATGAGAGAATCAAAAATGGGGAGCAGATGGGGGAGTCAATGGGTTGAAAGCCAGAGAAACTAAAATGGGCCTATGTGTGACATTATTCCACTCACAATGAGCATAACTGATCAAAAGTGAAAGCTCAATTTGATCCATGTTTCTGAGGCAGATTACATTGCCAAATTATTCATAGGGTTAGTTAAACAAAAGCATGGTATTTGCAGTTCACAGAAATGTTCTAACCTCATTGTGTCATGCATTCTCAGTGATTTTTTTCTACCAAGCTGCCAATTCAGTTTTCAGATGTGGACTTCATCTTCTTATGGGGGTACAGGAGAGTGATGATAATTGAAAGAGGATTCAGATTGCAATGATCTGGACAGGGTCTTGGAGCTGATGCCCATCAGTTAAGGTGACTCTTGACAAGCACCTTAACTTCTTGGAGTGTTAGTTTTCTCATGGGTGAAACGGCCAAGAATGATTGCAATGGAACACGTATGTGAGAGTCCTTTGAAAACTGCAATTATAACACTGTTACTTTTGTTGAGACAAATGTTACTTGGGACATTGAAGAAAGCCCACCCTGCCCCAGAAAGTATAAGTATTGATAATCTGCTTCTGAGGAAGAGTGAACAACAGATTGAATTATCATCCCTGGAATGTTTCTTGTTACATTTATATTATGAATCAGTCTGAGAGCTGATGTCCAAGAAATTATATATATATATATATATGATAAAATTAACCATTAATGACAAAAACAATGGGACACTGGGAAGAGGTTAGATATCACAATTAGCCTGTGATGGTGTTATGACAATGTTTAGATCCCTGCTCCCAATATCCCTGTGTTAGGCACAAACAACATAGGCAAAGTACAGCAAACTAACACTTCATTATCTGAATTAGGGGTCAGATGTAGAGAGTTCCCTTTCATCTTTCCCAGGTAGGACAACAGCCTTAGAATGATGGAACTCTAAAGGGACAGATCCAAGGGAAAAGGGGTACAAACTAGTAAGAGACAAAGAAATAGGATGGAGACCCAGGCTAAGGCTGAAAATGGAGGTAGACCCCAAGAAGAGGGCTGAGCTCGCTCAGAGCGTTCCTTATCCTGAACCTTGTTTTTCTCTCTGCCAACTTCCTTTTATCTGCTTGGAAGACTCAGACAATGATCTTTACTGTTACAGTCATGTATAAGCAAGAAGGTTAAGAAAAGAGGAAAAGGGAATAAGAGAGAAAGAAATATTTACCTCTGTCACCTCAGGGAGCCATCAGAATATAGGCAGATGCTTTGCCTTGATTTTTAAAATTCTTTAAAAGCTAGCTCTGCTTCTAAAAATTGTGGTCTTTTGTCCCAGAATCTGACTGACCGGAATCAATACTCCTTCTCCTAGGGAGTGAAGTAAAGAAAGATAAGATTGTCTTCTCTTTGAGTCTAACACAAACAATGTGGGTGACACATTTTTTTCCTCATTTCCAAAGGAACTTAAATCACTCACAAATTCTGAAACAAAATTAAGTTTTCTCAATGGGATATATTGGAATTCTATTTTCTTCTTGCCTAGCACTTTTTTTTTCTTCTCCATCCATGACCTAGAATTTTTAACACATACTTAGCTACTCTGGTCAAGAGGGTTACCTCCTCACTTACTTAAGTAAAGTAAATGTTCTGTCTCATTTGTTATCACCTTTCTGTAACTCACAAATAAAGAGAGTATATTGTTGGGCAGCAACAAGTCCTGGGCTTTGGTCAATATTCGTGGTTAACTCAGTTTTACTTGCATTTGATCTGGTCTATGGTGACCGCCAGAAGAGTCTACAGCAAAGCCCATTTGGTGAAGTCAAAAGTAGGTGCACACTGTGTCCTATTGATGAAGTTAGAATATGAAGTTCAGTCTATCTCCTTCACAAACACTGATATATACGTATTTTTCCTTTCTTTTCTTTTCTCCTAGAAGTATCGATATCAAGATGAGGACGCTCCACATGATCATTCCTTACCTCGACTAACCCATGAAGTAAGAGGCCCAGAACTCGTGCATGTATCAGAAAAGAACCTCTCTCAAATAGAAAATGTCCATGGATACGTCTTGCAGTCTCATATTTCTCCTCTGAAGGTCAGTTATGTTGCCCTTCCAACTTTATAGTTGGTGGCGGTGGTTGGTCTTAATTGCTAATGAAGATGTTTGCTGGCCTGAGTAAATGAGGCTCTTTTAAAAAGTGATAGAGGACACGGGTTGCCAAAGGGTCTTTCTTGTGCATTGGAGGCTCACCTTGTATTTTTGGGACATATTTTTATTGCAATTGTTTGAGTATCTGGAAAAATCATTTTAGTTGCTGAGAATGGCAAAGAAAGCGCCAAGATTGAAACATTGAAAGGAAAAATAAGCTAACCACATATTTTTAAAACCCAAGTACATCAAGGTTTTGCTCAAATGCTCTCTGTTCGTCAGTAGTCGTGGTCCAACAAAGGGAGCAAATATAACATGATCACATCTAACGATTGCCTTACTGTCTAAACTATAAAGGAAAATGTGTGAGTTGTCTAATCAATGCCTCTATTGTATCCTAGAGAAAATTGTTTATTAGACTTATTTCAATTTGATGTCATACTTTTACCAATACTTTCTACTTTTTAAAATTTAATTTTAAACAATTGCTTGATGAATTATATCTTGACAAGAAGGTATAATTAAATGAGAAAAAAATACTTTTCTATGCCCCTTGGCTGCAAATTAGCAAATTACTCTGCTTTTTTTTGTTTGTTTGTTTTTGTTTTTGTTTTTTGGCTGAACTGGCACTACCGGATTTTGGACAAAAAGCTTTTAAATGTTTATCAAAGTTTAAAAAGAAAAGTCAAAATTTGGCTGAAATAAAAGAGAATTCAAATGGAAAAAATAAAAACACCTACCAGTTAATTCCTTAGTAATTATTGCTAAACAAAAATTTCTTTCATCACCTAGAACATTCATTTTGCCAGCACTTCTACATAGCTGTGCTACAATAAAAAGTATAGACATAAAAGTGTCTTCCATGTTCTCTGGATCTTATTATACCTACCAGAACATCTAAGAGAGGTTAACATATGCTTAACTTTATGTTTCAAATTTTGAAACATTTCAAACATATTTGTATGCTAAATTGTATTATCAAATAACTTAGCTATAGCTACTACCAATACATAAAAATATTGGATCAATTGTCAAATTCCAGTAAATATTACATAATAAGTAAAAATATATTAATATTAATATTCTGCTTCTGGGATTCATTGTGTAAATCTCCAGAATTTCTTTGCAAGTGTTTGGATGACTGGTGAAAATGAGTATGTTTAACGTGGAGAAGAAAAGATTAAGAATTGGGGGACACGGGACTTAACCTTTTTTACCTCAAGAGCTGTCATCTGAAAAACATGACATCAATGTTATGCAGAAGGCAGAAGTAGATCCACTGTGCATAAGTGACAGTGATGTATATTATATGTGGGATCATTTTAACGCCACAGCTCCTGATATTTATAGCTACTCAAAAAAATTGTAGACTACTTCTTGAGACAGAAGTTCCCTAACCCTAGAAATCTTTCAGCAATGGATAATGGCTTGTCAGAGGTTTTGTAGAAAAGACTCCTTCCGTAGAAGGGTAAACAAAATTGCCTCTAAGGTCCTGTTTAGGAATCAGAATTCTGTGTTCAGTATAGAATCATTCTGATTCCTAGAGTTAGACAGTACTCTTTAATTTTTTCAAACAGTTGCTGATCCCTACTCTGTGTACCAACCACTGTAAATTGAGAAAGGGCAGGGCTGAGAGACTGAACTGCATCGCGGGTACTTACATTTGTTTTATTCTTTCAAACTGGTTGAAAAACTCCCTATAAGAACCTCCATAGGTCAGGCACAGTGGTCCGCGCCTGTAGTCTCAGCACTTTGGGGAGCCGAGGTGGGAGGACCGCTGATCCCAGGACTTCAAGACCAGCCTGGGTAACAAGGCAAGACCTTGTCTCTGCAAAAATTTTAACAAATTAGCCAAGCGAGGTGACGTGCAAGTGTAGTTACAGGTGTGCAGGAGTCTGAGGTGAGAGGATCCTTTGAGCCCAGGAAGTTGAGGCTGGAGTAAGCCGTGATCACACACACTGCACTATAGCCTGGGCAACAAAGTGAGACCCTGTCCATGCCACAACCCCCAACACACACATACACAAATTTTGCCACCTTTCTCCCTTCCCAACTTTTCCTCCTTAATCAACTCTAGAGCATACCTCCCAAAGGACTTTAGGCTAAGTAAGTAGGATAATCAAGGCTAGCATTTTATATCCTTCTACTAGAATCGATAATATGGTGATTATTAGTATTATATTTAAGTCAACTAACAATGATAGATGAAATATTTAAAGTAAGTGCATCTTTTGTCTTATCAGTAGGATTATGCCTAAAAGTAGTGAAATTCCTTGCGTTACTTCTGGGATTCAAAAATGGAATAGGGAGAGTCCAAATTTTATAATTGGTGCTATTGTAATTATGAGGGATGCTAGTCTGGTTACAGTAAAAAAAAAAAAAATAAAAAATAAAAAATAAAAAAAAATAAAAAAAGGAACAGAACAATGAAAGCATCATGGGAGCTTTGTTTTGTATATTAAGTCTTCAGCATATACATGATAATATAATTATCTGAACATCTGCAGTTTTGGTGATTGTACCATCATTTATTATGCTACTCGCTGTCTCATTTGGAAAATGTATATCAGAGTTGAGGGGACAGTATGCTTTTTCTAAATCTCAGATCTCATATAAACAAAGGAAGTTTTCCTATTTTCCCTTTATTCTTTGCCTTCCAGGAATCTCAGTCTCAGAATTAACTGTATTCAACTTCAATGGGTTTCTGTTAGCCTAGATTTTCTGTTATATTTATGTCACTTCTAACTAATTTCCTAGACTTTTATTGAGGGCACCTCATGTCAGTTTTAAGAACAGCCACCTATGAATAGCAAGACCCTGGGATGAAACACTGTGGTCCTAATAGATTTTTTTCCTTTTTGGAACCACCAGTTCTGTGGTATGGCCCCAAGGTATTGTGAAGAGGAGGGAAAGGGAAGCTCGCCAAGAATTTCTACACGCAGGCTGTGAGGTAGCTATTTTGGGACCAGGATTTTTTCATCATGACATTCTCGAGGTGTTGTTTATACTAAACAAGATGTGTTTGAGTATTTATTTATTTATTTATTTTTAAACTTGTATTTTAAGTACAGTGGTACCTGTGCAGGTTTGTTATATAGGTAAACTGCATGTCACAGAGGTTTGGTGTGCAGATTATTTCATCACCAGGTAATAAGCATAGTATCAAATAGGTAGTTTTTCAATCCTCACCCTCCTCCCACCCACTGTTTTCAAGTAGGTCTCAGTGTCTGTTGTTCCCTTCTTTGTGTCCATATGTACTCAATGTTTAGGTCCCGCTTGTAAGTGAGAAAACGTAGCATTTGGTTTTCTGCTCCTGTGTTAGTATGCTTAGGATAATGGCCTTCAGCTCCATCTATGTTGCTGCAAAGAACATGATCTCATTCTTTTTCTTTTACTTTCTTTTTCTTCTTCTTCTTCTTTTTTTTTGAAATGGAGTCTCGTTCTGTCGCCCAGGCTGGAGTGCAATGGCACAATCTTGGCTCACCGCAACCTCCACTTCCCGGGTTCGAGCGATTCTCTGCCTCAGCCTCCTGAGTAGCTGGGACTTCAGATCTCCTGACCTCATGATCTGCCAGCCTCAGCCTCCCAAAGTTTTTATGGCTGTGCAGTATTTTGCGGTGTATACGTTCCACATTTTCTTTATCCCAGCTACTGTTGATAGGCATTTAGGTTGATTCCTTGCCTTTGCTATTGTGAATAGTGCTGCAACAAACATACCTTTGTGTGTGTCTTAACGGAGGAGTAATTTATATTCCTTTGAGTATATACCCAATAATGAGATTACTTGGTCGAATGACAATTCTGTTTTAAGTTCTTTGAGAAATTGTCAAACTGCTTTCTGCAATACCTGGAATAATTACATTCCTAGCAGCACTGAATAAGCATTCCCTTTTCTCTGCAACCTCACCAGCATCTGTTATTTTTTGACTTTTTATAAAAGCCATTCTGACTGATGTAAGATGGTATCTCTTTGTGGTTTTAATTTCCATTACTCGAATGATTAGTGACGTTGAACATTTTTTCATATGCTTGTTGACCGCATATATATCTCTTCTAAAAAGTGTCTGCTCATGTCCTTTTCCCACTTTTTTTATAGGATTATTTTTTGCCTTGTTAATGGATTCTGAATATGAGATTCTGAATACTTTGCAAAAATTTTCTCCCATTCTGTAGGTTGTCTGTTTACTCTGTTGATAGTTTCTTTTGTTGTGCAGAAGCTCTTAAGTGTAATTAGATCCCATTTGTCAAATTTTGTTTTAGTCACAATTTTTTTTTTGACATCTTCATCATGAAATCTTCACCAGGTTCTTTCCAGAATAGTATTTTCTAGGTTATCTTCCCGGATATTTGTAGTTTTAGGTTTTGTATTTAAGTCTTTAATCCATCTTGAGTTGATTTTTTGTATATGGTATAAAGAAGGGGTTCAGTTTCCATCTTCTGTATATGGCTAGCCAGTTGTCCCAGCACCATCTATTGACTAGGGAGTCCTTTCCCCATTGCCTGTTTTTGCTCACTTTATTGAAGATCAGATAGTTGGTGATGTGCAGCACTATTGCTGGGCTCTTTATTCTGTTCAGTTGGTCTATGTGTCTGTTTTTCTACCAGTATTATGCTATTTTTGTTACTGTAGCCTTGTAGTATAGTTTGAAGTCCAATAATGTGATACTTACAGCTTTGATCTTTTTGCTTAATATTGCCTTGGCTCTTTGGTCTCTGTTTTGGTTCTATGTGAATTTTAATAGTTGTTTTCTAATTCTGTGAAGAATGTCATTGGTATTTGATAGGAATAGCACTGACTGTGTAAATTGCTTTGGAGAGCATGGCCATTTTAACAATGTTGATTCTTCCTATCCATGAGCATAGAATGTTTTTCAATTTGTTTGAATCATCTCTGATTTCCTTGAGCAATTTTTTTGTCATCCTCATTGTAGAGATCTTTTACCTCC